AACAGAAGGAAGGAAGGAAGAGAGAAAGTGGATGAAGAAGGAAAGAAGGAATGGGATAAAGATGGAAGGGAGGATGCGAATGAGGATGGAAGCAAAGAAGGAAGAGGAGAAGATGAGGTGGGAAGAAAAAAGGAAAGAACAAATAGGGTAAGGATGGATGGAAGGAAGAGAGGATGAGAGGAAGAAAATGAGGAAGGAAGGAAAGAGGGGGGAAAGGAAAGAACGAACAGGATAAGGGTGAAAAGAAGGAAGAGAGGGTGAGGATGAAAAGAAGGAAGAGAGGGTGAGGATGAAAAGAAGGAAGGGAGAAAGATGGGAGGGAGGGAGAGAGGGAGGAAGGAAGGAGGGATGGATGGATGAAGGGAGGGAGGAAGGAAGGAAGGAAGGAAGGAAGGAAGGAAGGAAGGAAGGAAGGAAAGAAGGAAGGAAGGAAGGAAACCTTCCAGTGCACCCGCTGCTCCTCATCACCCCATCCTGCTTAACGACGGCTTGCTCAGAGGACTCCCTCCTATCTCAGGCTCCCCAACCAGACCTGCCAGGCCATGAGGTCACCCTCCCCTCCTCCTCGTTCTCCTCCTCCTATGTTTTAACGAGTGCAAATTGGGAGCTGCTTCAGCCGAAAGGGTGGAACGAAACAGGCGTGGAAGGAGAGGAGGGCGCCCCAGGCGTTTCAGAAAAGACGGATGATGAAGGAGACACGCATCCTTTTCCTGATTTCCTGCCCTTGCAGTCAGCCGGGCCCTGCTTAAAGCAATTAATCCAATAATAAAACAAGTCACAAATCATGGGAAGCTGCGATACACAATTCTGCCTCATCACATCCCGGGCTATTAATCTCCTGTGACACATGACTTTTTCACCCTGGTGTTGAGAAAGAAAGAAAGAAAGAAAGAAAGAAAGAAAGAAAGAAAGAAAGAAAGAAAGAAAGAAAGAAAGAAAGAAAAATGAAGGAAGGAAGGAAGGAAGGAAGGAAGGAAGGAAGGAAGGAAGGAAGGAAGGAAGGAAGGCACACAAGTGTGACATCTTTGCAATGCAACGTGGCCCAAACTCCTGGTTCCTGATTCTAGCCTCACAAACAAACCATGGTTTGTTGACTCTCCTGAAGAAAGAAATCAACCATTTGGCAGCCCCATTTATGTTCTGGGTTGGTGCCCCCCCTCCCTCCCCAAACGAACTTCAAAGCAAAAAAGCGTTGTGTTGATTTGAACGATGATGGTGGACGAGCAGGAAATAGCTCCTCGTTGACCGACGTCCTCGTTGAATGACCGTTGGAAGTTACAGCGGTTGGGGGAGGGGGGGGAAGTGGCTTTGCGATCAATCCTCGTGTTTATGACCTCATAGTAATCACCATTTGGGAATTTCACAACAGGGGTGTGCCATGGCAATGACCTGCAATCACACCACCGATAAGTCACCGGCTTTGCAACCGTGATGCCATCACAACCAACACAGTTGTCCTGCGGTTATTTGATCACCCTATGTGTGTTTCACAACCAGCTTGTTACGACAAGGATTAATTGAGGAGGTAGGAATAAAATCATCCCTTGCGATCACGTGATGTCTTGTTTAAGGACTGCAGCGCTTCGTTTATCAACCAAGGGCAAAGTGAGGGCGTGAGCCCATCGAGTATTTTTCTACTGGCATTTTGTTACGTGCTTTCAAACTGCTAGGTTGGTAGAAGCTGGGACAAGTCACGGGAGCTCACCCCATTACGCGGCACTAGGGATTCGAACCGCTGAACGGCCGACCTTTCAATCGACAAGTTCAGCGTCTTGGCCACTGAGCCACCGCGTCCCTAAAAGAAAACATTAATAAAGAAAATAATAAATAATAATAAATGTATAATAATAAATAAATAATAATTTTAATAATAAATAAATAATAATTTTAATAATAAAGAAAACATTAGGAACCATTTAATTCCCATTTTTCTTTAAGCGATGTCCGAGTTCCTCTTTCGGTGTGGTCTGCGACCAAAACACAGCACTGGAACAGTTGTCAAAAACAATGAGCCACAGCTCCTAATCTTAATCATAGGATGTTGTCATCGCCATCCAGATGTGGCAAGCGATTTAACCATCTTGGAAGATGTTGAACGAGGCTGGCTCATCCTCACCTGACCGCCGATATTGAAAACAGCAGGAATCTGCCTGGCTGGCAATTTCTATCTTTACATCACGTTTCCTTCCGTGATTTTATTGTTTAAAAAAAGATAATCTGGGGATTGCATCTGCCTCCTGGTTTTCTACCTAGGCCTCGATCTTTGTTATTAAACCCCCACACAATCCCCTTAAGAGCCCCTTGGGAAGGCCTGGCCCTGCGAAGGGGGCGAGAAAGGCTCGAAATGAATGATACGGGTGCAAGGCAGCTATTTCATTATTAATGGAGAGAGAAAGAGAGAGACAGAGAGACTGTAGATAGGGAGGGAGGGAGGGAGATAGAGATAGATAGATAGATAGATAGATAGATAGATAGATAGATAGATAGATAGATAGATAGATAGAT